GCTCTAGAAGCTTCGTAAAGCAGGGGCTCCCAAGTCCAAAGCATGTGCTCAGCTCCCAGCTCTTCTTTCTTGGGGTACTGAGATCCCCCCATTTACTTCCTCTCTCTCAAGATAAAAGGTAATGAAGGCCACAGCCCAAAGAAATCCCCGACACGGAGTAGGCTGCGGCCCAAGGACAGGTGCCGCCCACCCTCGCCTCCTCCTCCCCTCGCCCTGTGCCCATGGAGGTGCACCTGTCAACGCAGCGCTCCTTAGCATCCCACACCGTTGCCCTTCCCGGAGAATCCCCTCTGCCACCGCGGTGGCTGACTGCAGACGCAGGGCTGTGCTTGCTGCTGTTGGCAGATGCTGTCCGGGCGATGCCGACCCCAGTGATGCCCTGTATGCCAGCTCCCGCACCAGCCTCACAATCGCCTTATGCGAGAGCCCTGGTGGCAGCCACTGGTGCCCCTCCATCTCGAGGGTCTTCCTCTTTCTCACGGACCCTCTACTGACCCAAACAGGATGGCCCTCTCCAGGGGTCGGTGCTCCTGACGCGTCCAAAGCACGGGGACAGCATCGCCTCCTCCCTTCTGCGGCGCACGCTGGCTGCGCCTCCTCCGGATTGCATGTGCTCGCTCTCCTGGCGGGCGGGCTGTGCCGCGTTCAGTGCTCTCACCACCACCACGCAAAGGCGGCGTCCTATTCAGCGCCCAGAGCTCGCAGGTAGAGGAAGCGACCCCCCCAAAAAAACCTAATCACGGTTCGAGCCAGGTGCACCTCAAAGTGACACCTTAGCTCTTGAGCACTTTGAAAAGCGCTCGTGAAGCACATCTGCCCGGCACAAGCCATCATTTGACTTCCCCACGGCTGCAGCCGTGAGCGCTGACTGTGGGAGCGATTCTTCTCCCGGGCCAATCTCCCTTCAGTTGTTGAGGTCGGAGTCCACGACATAAAAAAGCTCCTTCTCCACCGAGAGAGGCTTCGGTGGTGAGAGGAGGAGTCCCGGTGGCGAAGTGGTTACATGTTGGGCTGCTAACTGCAAGGTCAGCGGTTCTAAGCCACCAACGGTTCCTTGGGACAAAGATGGGGCTTTCTATGCCCGTCCCGGAAACCCACAGGGGCAGTTCTAGCCCACCCTGTGAAGTCACTCTGAGTCAGAATTGACTGGATGGCAGTGCGGGCTGGAAGGGGCTGGGAGGAATCACAGGGCATGAACACATCCTACGCTGACTGCAGGAATGGCCGTGGAAATATGTGGATTCACGAGCAGCTGCTGAAGCATGCACTTGTAAGTGGGGTGTGTGGCAGTGACATCATCTGTCAACTTGAGCAAAGGGGTGGAGTCCGGCCTGTCAATCAGGTCACGGCCAATGAGGCCTCTGTGTGGGCGTGGCCTTCTCCTGAGGATTCTGGGAACTCCTGTCTTCCTCCCTAGAGGTGGGACAGACTCTCTGCTTTGTCTTCCTGTTGACAGGGCACATGGAGTCACACTGATGGAGCCAGAGCTTTGGAGCTGAAGGAGCCTCGTGGAGACCAGCGCCAGCGCTAAGATGCTTCCACTGCCACTGGATCCACAAGACTTTCCACCCACAGGACTGTGATCTTCCTGCATTCGTGTCATTGCAAGTGTTGCGTGAGTCTGAAGAGGAATTTACAGATTGGTATCGGACATATGAGCTAATATCAGACTTATGGACTTGATCCGGACTGGGTTGGGATGTTTTCTTAAAGTACAATTGCTCTTTGATACAAAGCTCTTTCTTATACACATGTGTCTCCCTGGATTTGTTTCTCTAGTCCACCCAGGCTAACACAGTGTTTGAATTGTATATGTCACTCAGATATCAATAAAGATGTTTGCTTTCAAGGGTTGGGGAAGAAAGAAGAAGAAGAATGACGTTCGGATCTGTGTGGCAACAGGCATGATCCTTGGAAACTTCCTGCGTAAAAGACACCAGACCCAGGTAGCGATCGGTATGGTCCCACTGAGAGGAAGGGTCCAGGGGAGGCACATGCATAGAGACAGAGAGGAGATCAGTGGTCAGCTAAGGCCTGGGGCTGGTGAGCTCTGGTGGCGCAGGGGTTATTATCCGTGGGACTGATAACCACAGGGTCAGCGGTTCAAAAACCACAGGCCACTCTGCGGAAGAAAGATGGATGGGGCTTTCTACTCCCATGAGAAGTTACGGGCTCAGAAACTCACAGGGGCAGTTACACCCCGTCCTGCAGGGTCGCTAGGAGTTGGCCCCGACCGGATGGCGGTGAGTTGGGATGGAGAGGGCTGGGAGGAGGTGGCTCTGGTGGCGGAGTGCTTAAGCCGTCGGCTGCCAACAGGAAGGTGGAGGTTCGGACCCACCAGCTGCTCTGCAGGAAGAGGCATTCTGCCTCTGTGAAAAATGCAGAGCCTCAGGGACCCTTCGGGGGCAGCTCTGCTCTGTCCGCAGGATCCCCAGGAGCGGGCATCAGCTCGCTGGCAGGGGTTCAGGGCACAGCAGTAGGGAGGGGAAGAGACAGCTGCAGAGCTCAGGGTCTCCTGAGTGGAATCGTCACTCTTTCCAGCAAACTTCTCAGCCCCCTGACGTTCCATCTCGATGAGGCTGGAACGCACTCTCCCACTCACCGGACGTAAAGCTGTTACTAGGCAGAAAGGCTTCGGGCCCATACTTCCTGGGCTCGAAGGTGGCCAGGAGCCGGCCATACAGCCCCGTCCGCTGGCTGGACACGGACAGCTTCAGCAGACAGACGCCTCGCCTCTGCAGCTCCTTCGGAGAGATGTTCTCCTGCCAGGCCCTGGAAGACATCGACGTGCGTACTCAGCACTCTGCCGGGCCAGCCTTTATCCCCACGCATGTCGTGGGCAGGAAAAGGGGTCAAAAAGCACACTGGGAGGTACTCAATGCTCCCTGACAAAATGTCAGCACTGCCCCAGCCCCTAGCTTCCCCTGCTGTAGTCCCTGGCCCAGAACGCCCAGACCCTCCTCCCACTGACTCGAGACAGAACCCCTGGTCGCCCTCTGCCCCCCTCCACTTCCACTGCCCACTTCCGGCTTCCTGCGTCACTGAATCCTATTGCCCCTTCCCCACATGCATCCTCAACCCACCTCTGCCACTGGTCCATACAGCTACATACAGCCTAGCTCAGGCCACATCATCACTCACCAGGCTCCTAACTGCCTGGCCAAAGTTGTCTGGCATGGCAGCTCAAGGAAAGGTCAAAGATTCAAGTACACCCAAAGGTGCCTTGGGGAGGAGGCCTGGCGACAACCCACTTCTGCAAAGGCAGCTACTGAAGACCCCACAGGGTGTGGCTCTGCTCTGGGCACATGTCGGGGTCAGTCACCCCCATAGCAACCGTCACTGGTAACTGGTACCCACCTCTGGCCTCTCCATGTCCCGCTGTCTTCCCAAAATGCACATCTATTACCTCCCTGAACAAGGAAGACGGAAGAAACACCGGTGCTTTTGAACTACGGTGCCGGGGAAGAAGATTGAAAGGGGGCGGGTGGGGGTGGTGGTGTCAAAAGATCTGTCGTGGGAAATGCACTGCCAGAATGCTTAGAGGCAAGGATGGGCAGACTGGGTCTCCGTCAGTTGGACACGCTGTCAGGAGAGACCAGTCTCTGGAAAAGGGCATCGTGCTTGATAAAGCGAAGGTGCAGCCACAAGACGGATTGACAGTGGGCTCACCCATCACACTACTGCGGGGATGGCCCATGCAGGACGCGGGGGCCGTGTTCCATTCTGTTGTACACACAAAGGTCACGGAGTCAGGACTGACCACACCGCCAGCTCCCTCACCAGCTGCGACACTGGGAGGCCAGGCCGTTCTCCCTTGACACCTGTTCGGATGGCGCTTCCTGCTGACAGGAAGATGCTCCAGGGGGCCACCGGCTGGGAGTTGAAGCCCGTCCCCCACCAGGGCAGGGAGAACTTCACCAGCGAACCATCTCCGCCTTCCCGGGGCTCAGTACACCCGCTCAGACTCGGGGTGCTCGGGTGGCAGGGAACCGCCCCCTGGGGCTTTCCGAGGCTGGAAACGTTTACCAGCGCAGGCGGCCGCAGCTTCCGCTGGAACTCACTGCTGGGGGGTTCGAACTGCTGACCTTGCAGTGGCAGCTCAATGCGTACCCCACATCGCCCTGCGGCTGTTACGCTCAGGGAGGGGATTTCAGGCGCCGAAAACAAGGGGCTTCCGAGGGGTCCGGAAGCGCACACAGGCTGCCGCGGGCGGTCCCCCGGGTGCGGGGTCCAGCGGCCGCCGCGCCCAGGC